ATGAACATCTTACCAAGTGAAAAGAATGGCTTGGTTGGGATGGATTCCCGCTTACAGAAAATGGAGTCACTATTATGTCCCGAGCTCGGTAACGTTCGCTTTGTTGGAATATGGGGTATGGGCGGTATAGGCAAAACCACCATCGCTAGAGCTATGTATGACAAAATCAATCATCTCTTCGAAGGTGGTTGCTTTGTTGAAAATGTCAAGAGACGTTTTCCGTCAACTGATGCAGGTGAAGCACCACTAGATATGCAGGCAGAAATTCTATCTAGTATCACAAATATGAAGGTGGGGCGTTCAGAGATTTTGAGAAATGGTTTTCAGAAGATGATGGAAAGAGTTGGTAAGAAAAAAGTTTTACTTGTTCTGGATAATGTGGAGACAAATTGAAGCCTTAATTGGAAAGCAACCTTCATTTGGTGGCGGAAGTCGAATCATTATAACAACTAGAGATAAACAGTCACTAAATGGACTTGGTGGTCAGATATATGAGCCCGAGGTGTTAAACGATGAAGATGCTCTCAAGCTGTTTATGCAGGATGCTTTCAGGACAAAGCAACCCACAAAAGAATACATTGATCTGTCAGGCCATTTCACAAAATATGCTCAAGGTTTGCCTTTAGCACTCAAAGTCTTGGGAGGATTCCTCGATAACAAAAGTGTACTTGTGTGGAAAGATGAGTTAAAGAAAATAGCGAGAAATCCGAACCTGGGAATCCAGACAGTCCTTAGAACAAGCTTTGATGGACTAGATGGTTTGCAGAAGAAAATATTTCTTGATATTGCATGTTTCTTTAAACAAATGAAGAAAGACTCTGCAACAAGGATTATGGAGGGTTGTGCCTTCCATCCCCATACCGGATTAGAGGTTCTAGTTGGTAGAGCTCTTGTCACCATCTCATCTGATGGTGTCCTCGAGATGCATGATTTACTAGAGGAAATGGGTCATGAAATCGTACGCGAGGAATCTATAGAAGAGCCTGGGAGGCGCAGTAGGTTATGCTGCTGTGAAGATGTCCGTCATGTGTTAACTAATAAAACGGTGAGAAATGCACTCCCCTCCCCTCCGTTAATGTAATTGCTTCGAATCTTCTCTCTCCCATTAATATTAGTAAATTTAAATAATAATAATAACAACAACAACAATAATAATAAGTATAATGATTCGACTTTGACCAAAATCCAATTCATGAGAAACATGTGCATTAGGCGTTATAATCTTAAGTTTGTACTCATTCAATGTGCAATTTTGGTAATCCAGGCTACAGAAGCAGTTGAAAGCATAATTGTGCATTGGCCACACTCAAACAATGTGGTGGAATTAGATACCGCCTTTGCTCAAATGCGAAAACTAAGACTACTCAGAGTCCATACCGACTATTTACCACCAGACTGCGAGCCGGCCAATGATCACTGCCAGTACGAGGATCTAAAGTTTCTCTCTGAAAAACTAAGTTATCTATTCTGGCACAAATGTCCCCTAAAGTCTTTGTCGTCCAATTTTAACCGCGAGAATCTTGTTGAGATTGACATGCAATATAGTTGGGTTGAACACCTCTGGAAAGGAACTAAGGTACGTTCATCATTTGCCTATATACTGCTTTTAAATGGTTTAGTTTTTAAATGCCTTGTTATGTAGGTAACACATATTTTCCTTGATGTATATTGATAGCCTCTGGGAAAGTTGAAAATTATCAATTTAAAAGGCTCTTATCGTCTTAAGGACACACCTGACTTCACTGAGGCAAAGAATCTTGAGAAGCTAATTCTTGGTGGATGCACAAGTTTATATAAGGTTCACCCATCCATTTCTGCCCTTGAAAAACTTGTCCTCTTGGATCTAAGTTGGTGCAGCAAACTCAAGACCTTTTCAAGCAACATTTGTATGAAATCTCTTGAAACCTTTGATCTCTCTTTTTGCTCAATACTTGAGAAGTTTCCAGAGATTTCAGAATTTATGGAGAAGCTTTCAAAGCTTTATTTGCAAGGGACTGCAATAAAAGAACTGCCTCGATCAATTAACAATCTTAGGGGGCTTGTTACTTTGAATCTTGAATATTGCAGAGAACTTGAGATTCTTCCAAGCAGCATTGTTCAACTCAAGTCCTTGCAATTTCTTAATTTTTCTTGTTGTCCAAAGCTCAAGGCCTTTCCAAGAATTGTCAGAAATATGATGGAAGGATTAAGAGAGCTTCGCTTGGATGAGACATCTGTTGGAGCCCTTTGCCCATCAATTTCATCTCTTGAAAACCTTGAGATTTTGAGTCTAGAGCGATGCAAGAAACTTCGTAGCCTTCCAAGTAGCATTCATATGAGATCTCTTCAAACCCTTAATCTTTCCAGCTGCTCAAATCTGTATAATTTTCCAGAAATTCCTGAAGTTATGAACCTATTGAGCTTAATTTAGATGAGACTGCAATTTCAGAACTGCCCTCGTCCATAAAAAATTTTACGGAACTCGTTACCCTGAGCCTGAAGGATTGCAGAAGATTAGAGATTCTTCCAAGCAGCATTCGTATGAGATCTCTTCAAGCCCTGAATGTTTCTGGCTGCTCAAATCTGAAGAATTTTCCAGAGTTTCTAAAAGTTACGGAGAACCTAACAGAGCTTCATTTAGATTGGACTATGTTTGCAGAAGTCCCATCAGCATACCAATCTCTTATAAAGCAAGCCTCTCGCCAAAAATTTGCTCAGGTTAGAGGGATTGCAATTAAAGAATTGCCATCCATAGTTTATAGTCTTACGGGACTTGCTACTTTGACGCTACGGTATAGCAAACACTTTAAGAGTCTTACAAGCAGCATTTGTCAACTCAAGTCCCTAAATTATCTCTCTCTTTCTGGTTGTACAAATCTTGAGGTGTTTCCAGACAGTATCTGCAAAACTGTCTGGAAAGATTAGAAAATATGGAAAGATTAGCAAGCCTTGATTTGGATAGAACATCTATCAGAGAGCTTCCTACATCAATTGAACGGCTTCAGGGGCTAGTGTCGTTAAATCTGAAAAACTGCAAAAGCCTGTTCTATCTTCCGGACAGTATCTGCAATTTGTTGAGTCTCGAATGGCTCACTCTCCGTGGGTGCTCAAAACTTTCGAAGTTGCCTGAAGACTTATGGTATTTGAAGCGCCTTGACATAGTGGAAACTGGTATACGTGGTTGCCGCCCAAAACAGCAATTCATCACTTTGAGGGATTTGGCTCCGTGGAAACCGGTTGACGTGATTAATGCCATGGTCCCAAACAATGAGCAAAATGAGGCGGTGGCTGATGTTGAATCCCGCCTTCCCTGGAGGGGTGATTCAGAAAATTTGACTGATCCTGAGGACGTGGAATCCCTCCACCGCTGGTGGTGTGAACGTGTATGGACTGATATTGAGGAGTCAAGCTATTTGGAAGAGATGCGGCGGCGACATTTGGAAGAACCAGAAGAGATGCCGTGGCCACCCCGACATTTGGAAGAGGGTGAGATGCGGCGGCAACATTATTTGGAAGTGGAAGAGATGCAGCGGCGACATTTGGAAGAGAGAGAAGAGATGGGGCGACATGTGGAAGAGATGCGGCGACATTTGATGCGCGCGGCGACATTTGATGCGCGCGGCGAGATTTGGAAGAGATGCTGGAAAAGATGCGGCCACATTTGGAAGAGATGGAAGAGATGCAACGGCGACATTTGGAAGAGATGGAAGAGATGTGGCAGCGACATTTGGTAGAGATGCGGCAGTGACCTTTGCGAGTTTACCCTAAAAAACCTCGGTAATTGTTATAAAGGGTAATCCTATTTAAACTCATTTGTTTTCATTTCCCCCACCAATGTGGGACTGCCAACAAATTTCTCATCACATTTTCACTGATCCTGAGGAGTCAAGCTATGGGGAAGAGATGATGCAGCGACATCTGGGAGAATTCAGGCAGCGACGTTTGGAGTTCCTTGAGGTAGAGGGAACTGTAGCATCTCTCTCTTTAAAAACGATAATTTCTCAGAACTTAGGGGTATTTGGATCAGTGTCAGAGCACTGCACCTTTGAGTGATATAGTGGACTCAAGCTACGGGGAAAAGGAGGCGTGGCTGTTAAGGCAATTTTGAGTGATCTCAAGCAGTCAAGACATGAGGAAGAGAAGGAGAAGGCGGTGGCAGCCTCAAGGAGAGGTGGGAGGATATGGGGTTGTATCTGTGGGTCACGGGGTAATGGGGATTGAGGTATTTGGCGCATCATCACTGATATAGTAGTAAGACTAAGGGACCTGGGAGAGGGAAGAAATGGTGATTTTGTGACTCCTTCGTGTTTTGAGTTGGTTTCTGCTTCTAAGAGCTCTTTTATTTAGTTTTTTGCTTTTTTGCGTATTTCTTGCTTCACCTGCAGTTGGTACGTGGACAGTATTTACTTATCCGTACGTATTGTAAAGTTGTTTTTTCTTTCTCTTTGATCGTATGTGTTGTTAGTGATTAAGCCTTGAAGCTGATTTCTTAAGAGTTCAAGTTCCGTACTTATTCTTGTTGTTATTTGTTTGAATTGGAAATGGATGGCTGAGATTAAACTAGCTCATAAGCTAGGATTGTGCTAGCTGTCATAGTAGCTGAGAGTGAGAAGTGTGTGATGCATGTGAAGTTTGTTACAGTTTCTTCTTGTATTCTCTCTCAGCTTGCGTCCTCTTGTTCAACGTCATGGGGCTGCAATGGGTGGTGATCTGCGCAATTAGAAGGGACTAAGGGGTGTGATACCCAAAAAAAAGTTGTGATAATCAGCTCCTTGATGTTTCTAGTAAATTTTAGGGACGATGTTAATTAATTTTCAACTTCAAAGACAAAGTGACGAACAACGTTACTTTCAATGACCATTTGTGATAAAAATTCAAACAATCTCAAACATGCATTTTCCGTATCATTCATTACTAGGTGGTATTGAAGCAAAAAAACCATAAAAAAAAAAACAAATAATAATAGACCAATAGAAGGGCCCATTGATGATGATCCTCCTAACATTCTTTTTTTCACTCAAGAATTTCAAAACAAAAATCTACCATTAGTAAAAGCTTCCTGAAATTTTTAAAGGAAAAAGGCAATGTGTAAGCAGAAACTTACGTAATTAGGAAAAGCTGAGAACCCAATAATCCTAGACCCAAAACTATACCTCTAAACTATAAGCTGAGAATCAGAGCAACCATGACGATAAGCATGCATGGCCTTGCAACAACACCAGCTGAGGTCGACCTGCAGGCATCACGAAGCTGTAGTCAGTATCGATACAAGTAACCAAGTTCTTCGGTTTATATTACACCGGAACACATGAATGCTTTAAAACAATATGTAGTAGTGATAGATTGAAACCTAGAAGCCACCACCGGTCCCAACTCCCTTGTAAATTTCATTTCATTCCTTTTCCCATCAAGCTTTGTTATATGAACAAGCATGCAGGAAACCAGGATACCTGCTACGAAGCTGGTCCCAATAGATATACATGTATGAAGAGTTACCTTGTTACAAGCTCCTTTACTGACTCAGTTTCCAGTCCGAACCCAAACGGGAAAAGTGGATCATGGTTTGAATCACCAACATTCATTGGGAGTTGATCGACAGTTCTGAACCATGTTCTTGGAAGCTTTCCACTGAATCCATGATCCCCAAAAAGGACATCAGTAATGCCTTGGCCTTCAGAGCCTGGCAACCATGCTGCCACCAGAGCATCAATCGAGGAAATATATGGTTCGATTACAATAGGTTTGCCAGTTATTAAGATAACAATGCACTTGACACTTTCACACACATTGCTGAAGACACTTGGGCCAGGTTCCGCCATCATTAGGTTTGGGCTGTCTCCCGCGGTCTCAGCATAAGGATGCTCGCCAACCACAACAATGGCATATGCAAAGTTATTGGACTTTACAAAATTACGATCAGGATTCTCACTGTATATAACTTCTGTGCTTGAGTTGACTGCTGATTTTATAGCACCAAGGATCGTAGTCCCTAATCATGAAAAGGAAGTTTTATGAAAAATACAGCCAAGATTAGATACATTTATGTACGAACATCCTATACGCACGGGTATCTATTTCCATACATTCTAATAACTGTGAAGACGATTTTCTTGTTATACCTAACCAGCAATTCGTACATAAATTCGAAACGTCGCGTACTCTGAGAATAGATGTGTCTTTGGGTCAAGCCCCAAGAATAACGAATCTGTGATAGCTGCAGTAAACGAGTCTTCTTGCCCACTTGCTTAGCGAACCCAACAAATAAGTTATCGATATCACAGTCGGCCGCCCGCGATATCGACCACCCATTTGTTGTCTCGTTAAGCAAATAGTGATTTCCTGAAGATACACAATCTCACATGTCGTAAATTTGATCCTTTGAATATTAGTTTGCAAGACTCCTTTGCCAGCAAAAGTCGCCCATGAAAAACTCTCGTACCATGTCACAAAAAGTGCCATACTCCAAAATGAACAAAACAGAAACTGTTGTCGTAAAACTCTATCCCGCACCAAGCATAACTGCTAGAAGTGTTTCGACATCCACATACTCACAAACAAAGAGTCTTGGAGTGAAGCAGTGAACATATGCATTGAGACGAACCCATAACGTTAGAAAAGAACTACTAGCATACGATAAGTTGTCTCTAAACTGCAGCAGGATAATGAGTGGTGACCATCCAATTCAGCATAAAGATGGTGATCCAATCTGCAGATCACCTGCACTACAATCTTCACTAATCCCTTACCAAAAGACGACTCAAACCTCACACTGATGTGGAACTCTTTCTGGTAAGCCTGATAAACTTGTGAAAAGGTTATGCTCCTAACGTTCTTGTCTGAATTGTTAAGAATTGGGCATACACTTCTGCCAAATCGATCAATCCTGAATTCCTCACTGATTGAGCAAGAAACCATGTCGAGAACGCTGAAGGAACACTTAAGATTTTAAGGGTCAAAACAAGTCCATTACAATCCAGAGTACAAGATATCGAGATTTGAACTAGAAACCATGCCGAATGAATGATCCAGTTTCACATTAAGAGACGAATAAGCGAAGAAAGGTGAAAATGCAGAAATAGAAGTCACTGTTTATGATTATTTTGCAAATCATCACAGTATGGTCAACTGGTTTCTTAGCCAAAAAGGAAATAGGTCTAAACTCAAGAATAGTTAAGAACTGTCAATAAGATTTGACAAGGCCAAAGACATTTCGAAATTCACAATACTTTGTGAAAGCTGTTTCAAAGTTCAAAAATTAAACATAGAACCTCTGAATCAGCAACATGACGAAGAAGAAAGATACAAAGCAGGCTGCGTATACAGTGGCACGATTGGCTACCTTAAAGTGATGCTCTTGAGCAACCCAAAGCTCAATAAGTCCAGAGAAGTTCAGAGTAAAGCTCGATCTTCGTACAACAATGAATGTGGTAGAGTCTCAAACCATCACACTGAAAGTTACAAGGCTGAAAAGTTAGTGGACAAGTTAATTGAGCTACAAGCAAGAGGCTAAGTTCACCTTCACCGAAAAGTACGCGGACGAGGAACTAGAGTTTTCCCCCGAGTACCAGACCTAGGTGAAATTCAAGGAATCTGTTTATCCAAACAAGACTGGATATTCATCATCCAAATCCAACTGCAACAACAACAAGAAATGCAACTCCCTTTTGGAAATTGATGAGAATAGTCTGCTACCAAGGAGTTCCCAAGAAAAGCAATTAATGTAAATGAAGTCCACACTCGAAGAATTTGATGTGAAGCTGACGATCAATGATTAGGAAACTTAACTTCGTCGTTGGAATAAGCAAAAAGGTTATCGATAGAACAATCATCGAAGATTCATTCTAAAGATTTACACAAATATCCTCAGTGGAAACGAGTCCGAGAACATTGATTTGCTCCCACCAACTACCACCTACTAACAGTCATCACCATTAGCACTTACTCGTTTATTTAGTACGCACTTTGAATGTTTCGAACAATTTCCAAAAGATGACTTTGCCCACCATTCCTAAAGAACACATGTCGCAGAGTGATATCATTTCTTCAGATCTTCCAAATTCAAACCACTTAGGTTTTTTCCATTTCCCAAGATTTTGATGTAGAGCCGACTCCGCCCGCAATTCCTAGGGATGCATATTGTAGAGTATTAATTCGATGTCGAAAATCGTCCAACAAACCAATTCGTTTCCTATGAGGCACAATCTCAACACGATTCTCGTATTTCAACAAGAAGGTGACAATTCAAACAGAGAAAGGTTTGCACAACTGCGCCAAATGGCACCAAATCTAGAAGTCCTGACATCCAAATGATGTCAGAACCGACACTTTACGAGAATAGAAGAGATCCTAAGTATGCTCTGAACAAACCATGCTCTGATACCAATCTGACACGTCCCGACCCTGATATTCCCCGAATACCAGGATAGACACGTGTTGGCTGACACTCGAGGGTGACGAAAGCCATTAATTGATACAAAAGCTAAGAATAAGAAATAAATAAGGGTTATGAATTTAAAAATACAATGAGTTAATAATTTAGGAACGTGTTCAGAACATACAACTAACTAGAGCTCTAAAAGAATTAATATAAAATTGAAATAAATAAAAGGATGTGGGTCCTACACCGAGAATACTCGACTATGCCAATGAGAAAGCGTTGACGTTGTGATCGTATGCCTTGATTCTAAATCCTGAAAGGGGGCGCAAAACAAGGGTGAGTGGACCAAGTTAATATATACAATACTAATAAAACAGTTATGAACATACTAACCCCCACAGTTAATATGATGAAAACTACTAAATAATAAGTGATAGGTCTCTCAAAACCTCTAGCATGCCATGAAAACAATTCATATATCTATCTGCAAATCATATCAAGAAGCATAACACAAGTTGCGCTGCTAGTGAGTGCACCGAATAATAATATCTCCCGGCCCAATGCTTGCACCTTAGTCTCTGTGCCCGTAGCCAGAGATATCTCCTTCCGGCCCAATGCTTGTCTCCGTGTCCCTCAGCCTTTCGCTAGAGATTATTTCTCCCGGCCTCAATGCCAACACCAGATCCTCGCCCCAGACGGCATAGTGTTCACTAGGTACGCACAAAACATAATTCATCTCTAAAATACAACTTCGTAGCATAAATTCATCGATCCTCTATACGACAAAGAGGTGTTCGAAAATCATTTGAAACACATTCTTAGCATCCTATCGTCATCGATAAGATAGTCTAACAGAATGGGGGTTCTAAAGAAAAATACAATATAATGAAAATAGTTCAAAAATATATATATATAATCAATCATAATTAAATCATCATGCTTCCTGTAAAGTATTCCTCAAATCAATAATTATGTAAGGCATGCTATTAAATTATGCAATTATATAAATAAAACATGCAATTTTTGAAGATAGTCCACTCACAGATACTCCGTAGCAGCAAAATTGTGTGGAAAAAGATTAAGGAAATCCTCACTAGCAATTTCACCTAAACACAAGAATGTACAATTAATCAAACTACCCAAACGATATAATTTCAGGAAATGGAAATGGGTCTTGAGTTTGGATAGGTTAAGAACAAAAGGGGTGGTTTGGGCTTAAGCCTAAACTCATACTCACACACACGGCACACCCACACACACACACAGAGCCCATAGCCAATGGCTTTACAAACAGGGCCGGGCTTTAAGCCCAACCCATGTACACAACACACACGTACTGCATAGCATGCACGCACACACGTACTCACACACTTGCACGGTATGCATACACACATGCACATACACATGCACACACACTCACGCACATGCACACACAAACACACACACCGCATACTGATGCATGCATGCTATATATGATCATCATCATTCAACACTCGGCATCTCAGTCGATACCAGCATTCAAACCTGCAACTAAATGCAGTACACACACACACTCACACATACACTCCACACCACACTCACAACCCACACACAGGACACTGTTCAACAAACAACAAGGTAAATAAATTACCTGGGTTCGAATTCAAAGAGGCCTATGCATCCACAGCAACAAACTCGCCGGAGTTCGTCGTCGGAGCTGGGTTCTTGGCATAGAGAAGAGCTGAGGTCAAAACCCTCGAGTTTTACCATAAAACCAATATCACAAATCATAAAATAACATGCATAACCCAGGAATTTGAAGAAGGAACACAAGTCTCACCTGGGTTCGAATTTGAGAGCTTCAAAGCTCACGGCATCAATGGTGATTCACTTCACAATGGCCCGATGATGCATGCAAGTACATTGCAGGGTTCCTCCAATCTTAGGGATTCCAAAAATATAAATTTTGGGCTTGATTTTATGAGGGAGCTAAGGTGAGGGCTAGGTGAAGATCTCAGTGCTGAGAGAGAAAGAATGAGAGAGGTATACGGGAAAGGGAAGAAGAAGACAAAGAGAGAGAGATGAGGGCTCGGGGGGACAAAATCAGGGGGGTGGGCCCCTTGGGCTCACCAAATAAAAACCAAAACTATTTTTTAAATAAAATGGAGGGATGGGATGTTAAGTCATCTCCAATCGAATGGTCCAGATGGCCGAAAATAGCCCTAAAATCGTATACAACAAAGGGACAGGCTAGAGGGCTCTGGAATCTGAGAGGCAGAATCCCAAAGGGACAAAGGGCTGGCTGCTTCCAATCATAACCGACATAATTGGTCCCGCTAGGCTTTATTGTTTACAATTAGCCCCAGTTTGGGGTTGAGGTGATTTTAAAAAAAGCTCCTATGAAAAAAAGCTGAGAGTGTTTTTGGTGTTTGGTAAACTTAAAAAAAATGGCTTATTTTGGAAGCTGCTGTGAGAATAAGCTGAAATCAAAGGAAAAAGCTGAAGCTGCAAATTGTAGCTTTAGAAAACTGGCTTTTTTTCAAAGCACACAGAACTACAGTGCTCCTTTAATGAAAAGACTCACTATCAGACTGCTTTTTTTTTTTTTCCAAAAGCACTTTTACAAAAAAGTTTACCAAACACTCTGCTGATTTATTTCACAGCCGCTTATTCTCACAGCACAGCCGCTTACTCTCACAGCAGCTTTTTTTCAAAGCACAGCAATACCAAACCAGCCCTTAGTGTCATTTATAACCGACAATAATAGTAATTTGTATTACTATTTGTGTCGGTTATAACCGACACAAATTTACTTCAAAAAATTTGAATACAACGGCTAGCTTGCATTTGATTTTTTTTTTTACACAATTTTATTATTATTTTTTATTTACAAATTTTTCCTATAACTTCTATTTTTCATATTTGTTTTTAATTCTATTTTTTTCCTATAACTTCTATTTCACAAAATTTGTTTCATTTTATTTTAAATTCTTTTTTTTCCTATAACTTCTATTTCACAAAATTTGTTTCATATTTTTTTAATTCTTTTTTTTCCCCTATAACTTCTATTTTTAAATAGTTAACTTGAATTTAAGTTGTAGTTTTTAAATAATAAATTATGTTTTGCGACAAGGCTAAAACGAGCCATCTGGCCCTTTGACCCCCAGTTGGAGACGGAGGCAAATATGACTCTGTACTGTTCATTAAAATATTAATATCTTGGAGAATCTTGAAGGACCAGAGGGCCCAAACGATGTCACAGCCCGTCCCGGAATTTTAATTCCGAGGACGTGAAAAGACGAAAATGCCCTTAAACGGGACTAAGGGGTGAAAATTTAACAATTTGGATTGAGTTGGCACGTGGGATCCCCACATCCCTCAAAACCTTCCCCAATTCCCGTACCTTGTCCCTCTCTCTCTCCTCCCTCACGAAACTCTCAGTTCTCTCTCCCTCTCCTTCGAACTCACACGGACAAGCTCCAAAACCACCCTAAACTTCTATACCAACGACGGAGTTAAGACCACCATTGAACTCCTGGAACCTCAACGATCACGTAGA